TCTATGTATACATCTATGGATTTACCTGGAGAATGAGAGTAACTGATCGATGACTGATGTATCAATCTATACATGTACATGAATGACTGTATGTCTGTATGTCTGTATACTGTATATCTACCTGTATGATTGATTGACTGATATCTGATATATCTACCTGTGGATCTGATGAATCTGTATGAGATTTGATCTATCTACTTGAGAATCTTGAGAATCTTGAGAATCAACCTATATATCTATGGATGTATATGATACCTGATCAACCTATAAATCTACCTGTATGACTGATGAATCTGTATGAGAGAGTCTTGTTTGAGGATCTGATGAATCTATCAACCTATAAATCTATCTATGTCTATACATGATCCCTGAGTAATAGATGATAGATGATGAGTAATAGCTAATTAATGATAGACGATAGATGAGTGATAGATGAAGAGAATCTTTGGTTATCTACATGATATGTACCTATAGATGTACCTGATGAATGTATGATGAATATCTGAGTAATGGCTGATTTATCTTATGGATCTTGAGAATCTGATAGAAGTAATGAATTTACTTAGCTATACATGTACCAGTGTGTCAGAGGTATGAGAGATGAGAGATGAGAGATACCAGTATATATGAAGAGGATCTAATGGATCTGATGGATCTGATGAGAGTCTATAGATCTTCTGGATGTCTACATGAGATCCAATAACTGATGAATCTTATCAATGGATCTGTATCTACCAGTATGTCTGATTCTGATGAATCTTGTCCATCAAGCTACCTATGCATGATGCATGTACCAGTATGTCTGATGAGAAAGAGAATCTTATAGATGTATCTACCTATACATATACGTAATGCCTGGTATTCTATGGATCTGTTATATACCTATCTACTTGACATCTACTTATGTATCTACCATACATGAACAACCCTGTATATATCTGATCAATTCCTAGAGTGACTGATAATCAATGACAATCTGACAATCTGATTAGATGTATAATGTATAATGTATAATGTACATAATGAGAACCCCTGTATTTCTACCCTAACTGGATACTTATCCAATGGTTGTCATGATCAAGAATAAATGGTTGACAAAGAATAGATAAGTGGATGATAATCTAGAACAGAATGTTTGTCAAGAGATGAACAAAGAATAATCTACAATAAGTGAATGATAACCACCTACTCATCCACAGAAACTGATCCAACTGATAACCATACACCTACTCATCCACAGAAACTGATCCAACCTGATCTAACTGATAAAATAAAATAAAATAAAATAAATAGATAACTATACACCTCACCTAGACCTGTCCACACAGGATACACACTTGCATCGCCTCAAGATGTCGGAATACTCCTCCATCCGCACAGCGTGCATATTCACACGGTCGTCCTCCGCACTACAGTAGTAACAGTCCGTCTTCCGGCTTAGAGGCCTTCAGCCGTTATACGCACGACGTAGCCACGCAACTACCTACAGGCAGATCGCTTCACCAGAGGTCGCGGCCAGGAGTTCCTCTCGTACTATCCCGCCCTGCTGTTACCTCCAACACAGTAGGGTAAAACTAACCTGTCTCACGACGGTCTAAACCCAGCTCACGTTCCCTGTTGGTGGGTGAACAATCCAACACTTCGTAATTCCTGCTTCACGATGATAGGAAGAGCCGACATCGAAGAATCAAAAAGCTGCGTCGCTATGGTCGCTCGGCCGCTACAAGCCAGTTATCCCTGTGGTAACTTTTCCGTCACCCGTGTCCCAACCTTTCACAGGACACGGGATCTCTAGGCCCGGGTTTCCCCCAACCATCCCTCGCAAGGGATAGTCTCAGGCAGGCTTCTGCCCTTGTACTCCACGCGTGGTTTCCCTCCCCGCTGATCCCACCTTAGGACGTCTGCGTTATATTATAGCAGTCGTGCCGCCCCAGCCAAACTCCCCATATGCATCAATCATCATAAACCGCCGAACAAGCAAAACAGTGGTCTTGCACCTTCTCCCCACCTCTCTTCGTCATGCCGTTCGTCACTTCACACATACTAGAGTCAAGCTCAACAGGGTCTTCTTTCCCCGCTGTTAAATGCCAAGCCCGTTCCCTTGGCCGTGGGTTCACAGTGTCAGTCATAGGGACAGTGGGAATCCCGTTGCTCCATTCATGCGCGTCACTAATTAGATGACGAGGCATTTGGCTACCTTAAGAGAGTCATAGTTACTCCCGCCGTTTACACTCGCTTCCGCTTCTACACAATTCACTACAAATGCACTGGGCAGAATTCACTTACCGTCTCCAGAAAGCTATGTTTTTACTAAACAGTCAGATTCCCCGCTTCTCCATCAGTTCTAGCATGCTAGAGCCAATCCTTCTCCCAAAGTTACACATCCTCCTTGCCGACTTCCCTTACAACCGTTCTCTACTCTCCGTGCTCTTGTTACTCACCATGGACACCTGATGCGGTCTAGGTACGGCAAATATATTGCTTTTTCATCGGGACTTCCACACTCCATAATAACTGCTTCCTTGCTTAACACTCCACACTCATCACACATCCATCTCTGAACACATACATATATAGTTCTATCTTCCTATACAAGAGCTACTTCCATCCGTCATCCTCAAGTCTCCTCTCAATACATCTACATCAAACTCTCAATCAATCTCCGTCTCAACCGCCGTTTCACTCCACTATACAAGTAGAAACCCTCGTCCATTCGCACAAATCATTTCCTGCTACTACCACCAAGATCCGCTCACAATACCCCTCCACATACACTCACGTATACCCTTCTCAGAAATATTGTTACCCCCTTACTAACCATTCACTTACAAATAGTATAAATGCATCGGTCTCAAAGCTAAAATCCCTTCCATTTTCCCATCATGCCAGTTCGGTCGGTACGTCGTAACACGTTTCTTAGCGGATGCCTACCTCCATGGCCACCGTCCAACTGTCTCAACCAGCACTAATAGTTCACTCACTGCTTACTTAGGCCCCTTATCATTCCTCAAGGTTCATTCCTCCTCGCATACCATGCTTACCACCGTATGCCCACTAGCAACTTGCATCCACAACACATTCAGAGTTCGTCTCAATATCAACTCGGTCGCTTTACTCCATCGCACTATCTTCTCGTCACCGCTGTCCTGAGAGACATTTCAGGGGGAACCAGCTACCAGGCAGTTCGATTGGTCTTTCGCCGCTATGCACATCTCACATCATCGAGTTGCACGTCAGAACAACTAGGATCCTCCAGTAGGCTTTCGCCACCCTTCAATCCAGACACACATAGCTCACTGCCTTTCGGGTCCGACTCATACATTCTCTTCGCTCTCGCCACACAATGCATCCGTCGTCTCCTTGGTCCGTGTTTCAAGACGGGTGGGCAATCACTCCCATACATTCACACACTTTCATTCTTCATCCTTCCTTTCTTCTGCTTTCGGTCTCCCTACTTCTTCTCTATCGGTCATCTACCATATTTAGTCTTCGATGGAAACCACCACCCTTTTCAGACTGCACTCCCAAGCAGCCCTACTCTTCATTAATCACTAAGCATGCATACAGGTCATTCCCCCTCTCCGCCATCAACTTTCCTATTGATTTCTGCTGCTAAAAGCGTTACTACACAACCTGCTTGCGCAGTTACCACATAGACTTCGTCCACTTCACTCGCCGCTACTCAGGACATCCCATTTGGTTTCTTCTCCTCCCCTTACTGATATGCTTAAGTCAAGGGGGTCTCCTCACGTCTCCGTGTCATTCAGACACCTCATGCTTCTCGTCTTCTCTTACGTCCTTCCTCGCCATAGATGCCAAGCAATCCCGTGTGTCATGTCATTACTACCGTGTATCAGTTACATTTATGATTAGATCTATTAGTCATTGTCATAAATATTACAACATAAACTGTAATCTAACAAAATTGTTTACGACTATTTCACTGCCATAATATAAAACTACCATAATATAAATTACGACTATTTCACTCAAAACTATTAATATGATGATCCTGCAGCTGGTTCTCCAACCGCAGCCATGTTACGACTTATATCTCATCTACCACAGAAGACTCACACCCCTCGGTGTTCGTCCCATGTGCCATCTCAGATAGCGACGGGCGGTGTGTACAAAGGACAGGGACACATTCACGTCGGCTTGTTGAGCCACCATTACTAGGAATTCCACGTTCAGAATGCCATTCCACACATTCATCCCTCACACATCTCATACACGTATCGTAGTGCGCGTGCCGCCCAGGACATCTCAGGGCATAACGGACCTGTTCTGTTCCACTCCCTCCTGTCATCCAAACAACCTGTCTTGTGGGTCTCACGCCTTCCGGAAATTAATCCTCAGCTCACGCCATCCGTTTCAAACGGCCATGCACCACCGCCAATGTGCTCCCCTCTCAGTTCTCCACACATCTTCAGCCCTGGTAAGTTGCCCCGCGTTGAGTCAAATTAAGCCGCACACTCCACTCCTTGTGGTGTCCTTCCGTCAATCTCTTTAAGTTTCACCCTTGCGAACATACTATCCCCAGAGCTCACATACTCAATTTCTCTTGCATAACACACATACATGTCATCCCGTCAGCATCGTTTACTGCCAGAACTAAAACGGTATCTAATCGATTTCGATCCCGACTCTCGTCATTGCCACACATTGTCGGCAATCAGTGTGCAACACTTTGATCATCACATTCGTCATGGCACACAGCCTTCGCCTCCGTTCGTCCAGCCAGGGTCTTCACATTTCACCTCTCGCCCAGCTATCCAGTGCACCCCCTCCGTTGCTCTCCTCATACATACAAGCTTATTCAACTCTAGTTCACTCACCTTCATACTCATACACATCCTCACTTGACTACAGACTTTTTAACCGCAGCATTCACCATAGACACCATCGGAGCAGGTATTACCGCGGCTGCTGGCACCCGACTTGCCCTCCAATATCCACTGACTCTTTCATCGTCCGCTTCATAACAATATCATACGTCTCATAACCGCCTCCCCACAGGATTAGGCAAGTTTCGCGCCTGCTGCCATCCTTGGACGTAGTAGCCATCTCTCAGGCTCCCTCTCCGGAATCAAACCCTAATCCCCCGTCTCCCGTCGTCGCCTACCTAGGCCATTACCCTAGCTACCAGCTGATAGGTCTACAACACACTCCGCTCAAATACTCAACATCACTTCAAAAATCACTTCTCCGCATCCCTTCAAGTATTCTCAAAAACTCTCTTCTTCAGTTTCCCGCCGTTACTTCTTCTTCGCAGATCATTTCATCGTAGTCTTACTGAGCCGTCCGCAGTTCCTGCTTACTACATTCACTCACATGCATGGCTTAATCTCAGACACTAGCATCCACGTCAGGCAGAATCAACCTGCTGCTCTCTCCTCTCTTCATTCTTCAGTCATACACTACACACATAACATATCCTTATCATCACATATCTCTACAACTTACTCTCTCTTATACTTCTTCTCTACTCATTCACATAATACATTCTCGTGATCATCATTACTCATTCAGATAATCTTAATCTTAATCTTCAACACTCACATATATACTGCTCATATCCATTCATACATAACTTATTCATTCACATACTCACATATACATTACTCATATCCATTCATGTTCATATCATATCTCTTCCATCCTTATTCTCTCTTCACTTCATATCTTCTTGCTACTCAACTACTCTCCTCTTCTTCACATACACTCTCTCTTACATATGATCTCTCATTGTGTATATACTTCTCTTGTGTCTACTTGCGTCTCTTCATTTACACATACACATACTTACTCATCCACTCTCATTCATCTTTCGCTAGTTCTCTTCTCTCATAGGAGATTACACACTATCCTTCATTCACATAACATCTACTCTCTATCACTCACTACTCATCCACTCCATCACTCATCCATATTCATATCCATATTCATAT